GCTCTTGTCCCAAGAGTTCCTGCTGCCAGATGTCATCCGCATCTGGGACTCCCTCTTTGCTGACGACAAGCGCTTCGATTTCCTCCTGCTCGTCTGTTGTGCCATGCTGACGTAAGTACACACACACAGCCTTCCTCTTCTTCTCTTCCATGGATCCAGGAGTCTTCTCTAGGCACGTGTTAGGGCATCTGGTGAAGAGGTTATCGGGTTTAAAGTTTCTTTGTAAACAGTCAAAAGTAGCTGGAATAATTTCCGTCTTTCAGACTCATCCGGGATCAGTTGCTGGAAGGAGACTTCACTCTGAACATGAGGCTGCTACAGGTAAGAATGAAATTGAGTGGGTGCAGAGAGCAATTGGAAAAGTCTTAAAATAGTGCTGTGAGAGAGGATGACAGTATGTGAGAGGGTGGGAGAGTATGCCTGGTTCAAGACAAGTACCACATTTGTGATGTTTGCTTGAAGGAAAATCTGCAGGGATCAGTGGGAGTCTTTAGCACATGCACCCTTTCTACCCTACAGAGAAATTATCATAGATTGGAGGTTTCTAATGTTCCTTTGGTTTGCAAAAACAAAATTTAATCATTTCAAGCAAAGATGTGGAATCTTATGTAACACTGCTAAACTTTTTGGCCAGAGGGTTTTGTTCAGTTCTGAGATCTGTGAGAGCCTTAGGTTGGAAACGCCTGCAATGCACTGTTGGATATCTCACGTTCTGCCAGTTCCTGCTTTGGGCTGTGCCAGATACTGGCTTTGATAAGGCTCTCTGGCATGAGACAGAGCCCTGTGTCAGGCCAGGTTACTGTGCCCTTGGAGGACAAAGTGAAAAAAAAAACAACAAACCTTCTGGAAGGGTGTTGAAGTTTGATCAGTTACAAAACAGGAAACTGTAGCTGTTAAAGGAGTAACTGAACATGGCTGTGTGTTATAATAGGCCAAGAACTTTGTTGTCAAGGTTTGCCTTGCTTAAATAAAACAATCTGTATCAAGAATGCTGGGAAGTCACTGAAATGCCTTTGCTCCTTTGCCATAGGATTATCCTATCTCTGATGTTCATCTGATTTTGAAGAAGGCAAAGGAACTTCAAGATTCCAAATAGTCCATGGGCCTAACAAAAGGTGTCAGAGAACTGTGTGGCAGTGGATCTTGGGAGATGGCCCCTTGCAGTGTGCTGCACTAAAGCTCCTACTGGTCTCTGCAAGACTTCAGGTTTTGTTAGAACTACTGGCCACCTTGAAGACTTCTACTCTATTTATTAGGTCAAGGACTGATTACTTCCCTGTCTACTTGGGTCCTGCACTCCAGATTTTTCCACATCTCAAATGCCTCTTTGCTGCCAAAAGCAGTTCTTTGTATCTTTTTTTAATGACTTTGAGTTTGGGGAGAAAGAAACCTTCTGTCTGCATATCCCTGAAGGGATGGACTCCTGTATCGTGGAAGTAACACACGGAGTAACTTCTGATGGGGAAAGGACAGACTTAAGTCCAGTGAATTTTGGTGGGTGAGGATAGAAGGATCTTCCTCCTGTGAATAGAATGTATTCCAGTGAAGTCACCCATTCTGCCATTCAAGTGGATTCTGGATTCTCCTCTCTTGTGTCTGCACTTGGCCATCCCTGAGGCGTGTGAAGAAGAAGAAGAAGGTTGCATCACTTTCTGGTGAAGGTCACCTGGCAGTTTGCACTCCTTTGACTGGGAAAGAGACTTGGGAAGCTGAGGTGGGAGGACACAGTGACAGCTGGTGGCTCTGTGCACTCAAACTGCCTGAATCCAGAACTGCCTTATCAACGAGGTGTCCTTGAAAGCAACATTGTGGTGGTTTTAACCCCCCTATGAAGTGTAGTTCCAAGTCAAGCCTTACTACACACAGCCTTAGAGCAGGGAGGCCTCATGCTGCTCTGAACTGGAGCATATCCAGCTACAATCAGGATTCTGAAACACAAGAAATGGACACCTAATCATGTGCAATGAAGACAGATTATTTAGGGATTTATACAGGCACACAACTGGAGTTTTCTGCCTCAGTGGCTTAAATAATACTACTCCCATTAAGGTCTGGTCACAGTAACCTTGCTATTGTCTCACAGTACTTCTTGCCAGGAAGAGACAGTTCTGATCTGCAATAAGAGTCCTTCTCTAGCACAATCCAGCAGGCACAGAGGCATCTGTCATGAGCTGACTGCTGGGGCTGACCACTGTTCTCTCCTGGTCCTGTTGGAGTCACAGTCCTGAGCTGGACACTTGTTCCTCCTGAGAGGGAAAATGGCTGCACTTCAGATATGGTCCAGTGGGCTCAGGTGAACAGGGACTGAGACAAACCACAGGGAGAACTGCTGAGCTGCACAGTGCTGAGCTGAGCAGAAACCCTAATCCTCAGAAACTGCCAGCACCCAGGTGCTTGTGTGGTGCAGAAGCTCTTGAGTGAACACTAATCCAACGTGCTTTTCCCTTTCTTTCTGTGCTGTGCTGGCTCACCTCTGCTGTTGGACACTGCAGTCTTTGGTATTTATGGGTGTTGATTTGTTAAAGGTCAGTCAGTCTTTGTTAGATCTGCTTAAGCTGCTGCTGGCCTAGACTTGCCCTAGCAGGAGGGATGCTGGCAGCCTTCAGCTTTTTTTCCTGGTGTTATTTCCTTCACTGAAGGCCTTCACAGGCTGCTGTAATTCTCACCAAGGTGTGTGGGGAGATGGCAGGACAGGTTGGTGCACGTTCCCATGTTCTTATTGGCAATCCCAAGCAATCTCTGCCTCTTGAGAAGATGCTCAAGTACCACTTGTGCAGCCATGTGTTGCTGCTGTGTTGCAAGAGCAATTTAAGGTTTAAAGCAATCTGTAATTAATACCTGTGGCAACAGCATCCCTCTCTGCTGCAATCTTTTCTTGAGGGTATAGTTTTCCTCCAAGAAAAATGGGACAGGTAGACCAGGGCAGCAGTGTGGTGGAGCATCATGGGCTGCTCTGGCCACTGGGTGGATGTTCTCTCTGAGCTGCTCCAGGTGGTCTTATCAGCTCTTGGGTACCTGCACTAGGGAGGCTTTTGGCCAGACCTGGTGTGGTCAAAGAGCCTCCTGAGAGGTTCTGTACAAATGTAGAACCAGAGGGCCCCACTCTTGGGAGGCAGAATTGTACCTGCTCCAAACACTTCTGCCTCAGAACTGCTATAAATACTGCAGCTTTCCCATTCCATGCACAAACTCTGCTCTCATCTCCCTGAATCCTTGCCTGGGCTGTTCATGCTGGGTTCCCCTGGCACCTGCAGGGTTTCCTTATGCTGGAATTTCTTACTGGCAACAGGACCATCCATGAGTGTTCCTGTTCTGAGCAGCTGGAAGTCTCCTTAAAGTAACCTGAGGAGGCAGCAGGCAAATCAGGATGAAAGCAATGCTTGGAGATGAACTTGTGCACGTTTCCAGCATAGCTTTGGGCCCTGGGGGTGACCATCCCACTGGGGAAGGCACAGGGGAGGTGGCAGCACAGGTGTGGTGCTGCCTTCTCCCTTCCTCGGTGTGCAAGGCCTTGTGTTCTGTCCCCTTGCTTCAGGGGGTGACAGTGAGTGCTTTTGGAAGGCGTTTGCAGTGGTTTAAAGGGATGCAGTGAGAGATTTGGCTGCTGGAAAGGATCTCTGGGATAAATTCTGTAGCCTTATCCAAACTATGGCTGCCAAACCTATTGAGTTCTGTGGGGAGAGCTTGCAACAACTTTGAAACGTCCAGACAGGCTGTTCCATACATAAAAAGCTGTTTTATATTCTGCTTATTTCCTTCCTGTGTGGTAGAACTTCTGTCCTGCTGTTGAAAGGAGTGGTACTTTTCATTGTCTTGGGACATCTATTTCTTTATTCCAAGACTTTCTCCATTCTTTAAGAGCAAAACCAGATTTTCTGAGGGGACAAAAGAAAGTCTTAACCTTTTACCAGCTTTTGAATCTCCTCGTGTTGCCCTTGGCTTCATTCCTCAAGGTTTTTGGTGATTTATTTTTCTTGTTTTTGAAGTGAGACAATACTTAACTGGTGTTTCCTTACTTGTGTGACCAAGTAACACCTGTTCCAGCCTTGAGATGTTTCTGCTTCTGGTTTCTTACAATCCTGACTTGCTGAAAGAGCTGATATTTAGGGTGGGAGGTGTTAGTCTGGGGTGCCTTGGGGACCCATTATCTCACAGGGACTTGAACAAAGGATGTTTAAATAGGTCTTAGCATGTGTTCCTCACAGGCAGGACTACTGCCAGGCAGGGGAAAGGGAAATCACCTTCAGCTGGGAGGGAAATCAGGACACTCCTGGATTTGGGAAGAGATGAGCTTTCCCTGGGAAGGAGAGGTCTGTTCTGCCTGCACCTCACTGCAGTTCAAGCTTTGTAGAACTTGGTGGCTTTGCCAGTGAGGTGGATCAAGCTGCTGGTGGTGGTCACTCGGGAGACTGATTTTGAGTTGGAATTTTGTGATTCCACCTAGAATTATTCACACTTCAGCATTGGACAGAGTGAAGGCCAGAAGTTGTTTTGGGGGAATCTGGGGTGCTTGGGAATCAGAGGCTGTTTTTCCCGAAGGAATATCAGTGACTTTGTTGTAGCTGTTTGGGGCAGTCTTCTAAAATGCCCTTTCCCCAAAGAAAGGGACAGATAACACTTTTTTTTTTTTCCCACTTTATTTGTGAAGAACTGCCAGAAAATGGTGTAGTGAACATTTCATCACTCCTTCTTTTATGCTTCTTTTTTCAAACACTATTTTTGTAAGGTTTCCTTTAACTAAACGGATGTCTGTGCAAACCTCTCCCGTTGGTGTGAGTCGGAGTTGGGGCCGCTCCAGCCTTTCTGCGGTGTCCGTAGGTGTGACAGAGAGCCCTGGGGAACCCGCCCGGCTCCTCCACCGCCCTCTCCTTTCCGCCATGGGTTTGCTTTGCCTTCCCCAGGAATACGCGGCACGGGTGCGAGCGCTCTGGGTGGCGGTGGGCGCGGGTGTCCCCGGTGTCGGTGTCCCCGGTGTCCCCGGTGTCGGTGTGCCCGTGTGCCCGTGTCCCCGGTGCCCCCGTCCCCGGTCGTTCCCCAGGACAGCGGTCCCGGGATCGCGGCGCGCCCGCCGCTCCCGCTGTGCGCGCTCCCCCTTAAAGCGGCGATGCCGCCGGCGCAGCGCGGCCGCCCGGGGCCGGGCCGCGGCCCGTTTAAGGCGGGGCCGGGCCGCGCGGTGGAACGGCCATGCTGCGGGCCCGGTGGGTGCTGCCGCTGGCGGTGGGCGCGGGGCTGGGGGCGGCCCTCGCCCGCTGGGAGCGCCGGGAGCACCGGGAGCGGGGCGATGCGGCCGAGGGGCTGCTGGCCCGCCTGCCCGTGCTGCCCGCCGTGGCGGCGGCCAGCCTGCCCGCGCCGCCGGGCTCGGTGCGTACCGAGCTGAGCAAGTACGGGCTGCCCGGGCTGGCGCAGCTGCGGAGCCGCGAGTCCTACGTGCTGTGCTACGACCCGCGGAGCCGCAGCGCGCTCTGGGTCATCGAGCAGCTCAACCGCGACACGCTCAGCGGCGCTTCCGACCGCGCCGCCTGCGACTTCCAGGAGGACGACACGGTGCACGAATATCACCGCGCCACCAACGCCGACTACCGCGGCAGCGGCTTCGACCGCGGGCACCTGGCGGCCGCCGCCAACCACCGGTGGAGCCAGAAGGCCATGCGGGACACGTTCTACCTGAGCAACATCGCCCCGCAGGTACGGCCCGAGGCTGCGCGGGGAGCCGGAGCTGCCCGCGTTCAGGGAAACCCCCGGGAGAGCCGCTGTGTTTGTGCCTGCAGCAGTTCAGGCAGAGAGGGGTCAGAGTCACTCGGAGGTGCCGATTTACTGATAGATTTAACAGCAGGGATCCTGCAAATGCACCTGCCTGTGTGTGCCTCTCAAGCCATGAAAGAGAGACCCCGTTCAGCGCAGTTCCTGTCAGGAACAGAATTAAACAATTAGATGCACACTTGCTAAAACTTGCAGCCTTAGGCAATGGGTGTGCAAACCAGGCCATCACTGCTCCCAAAGCAGTGATGATAGTGGAGATTTGGTATGGAAAGTGCTTGGGGCTTTGTGAGATGTGTTACTCTAAACAGTGAGGAAATACCCCAGCAACTGACTACTGGCTGTGTTTCTAGAATCCTCATTTAAATCAGAATGCCTGGAATAACCTTGAGAAGTACTGCAGGAGCTTGGCAAAAAACAACAGGAATGTCTACGTCTGCACAGGACCCCTCTTCCTGCCCAGGTAAACACAAGAGCTGAGCTGGACTAGCACCCAAAAGATGCATTGAGCTTGCAAAGGAAAACAGGCTGAGGGACCAGGAGGGGTCTACTAAGGCCCCTCTCAGTAGGTGAGACCAGCTGTGCACAGAGGTTCTGTGGAAAGGTACCTTAGGATTAGTTTATGTTTTTCCCATCCAGATGATGATTTCATGAGTCAAGTGGGATTGCTGAGCTGCAGTGTAACCAGCTTGTTTTTGTTGTCAGTCCTTAACAATTTAGTAGATTAGCTGATTACCAGATTAGACTGCAGACCCCATCCCTGCAGAATAAAGCTTTCAGGTTCAATGTCATGGACTGCTTCTCCACTTAAGGACATGACTTTATTTTCAAAGATCTCCACATAGCACCAAAGAGCAGCTGTCTCATGTTGAGATCTCTTCAGGAGCAGGAAGTAGCTTGGAAAATCTGTTAAAGAGAGCCAGCAGGGAGGGGATTTGGGAGCAGCCCCAATGCTCAGCTCACCCTCACCATGTCACATAGCCTCTGCCCCAGCCATGTTTTACAGCCCTGTTGCAGAGGCAGAGCTGCTGCCTGCTGTGGGTGGGGTCTTAGGGGCTGCTGGGGGACTGAGGGGGTGGAGTGACACCAAAGCAGGAGCTAACCTGGGATGTTGCTGTTGGTGCAGGATGGAGGCCGATGGGAAGATGTATGTGAAGTACCAGGTGATTGGGAAGAACAACGTGGCTGTCCCCACCCATTTCTTCAAGGTGCTCATCTTGGAAAAGGAAAGTGGGGAGATTGAGTTGCGCTCCTACGTGATGCCCAACAGCCCTGTGGATGATAAAATCCCCCTGGAACGGTTCCTGGTTCCCATTGAGAGCATTGAGAGAGCCTCAGGGCTCCTCTTTGTCCCAAACATCCTCAGGAGAACAAGTAACTTGAAAGCCATCACAGCTGGAAAGCAGTGAACCTTGACTAGAACAAATACAGGTAACCCCTGGCAAGGGACTGGCAATCACTTGCAGAATTCCTTGTGTAAATGTGGGAATTAAGATTCAAACCTGTGCTTCTCCACTGTTCCCCTTGTGTCTGACTGAAACACACACAGAGCAGGGCTCCAGAGTGGTCCTGCAGGAGGCTCAGGAGCACCTGACACTGTAGTAGCTCTCTAGGATTTGCTCCTAATCCACTGCTGCCTTGGAGTTGTGTGAGGCTCACTCAGGCAGAAAGGGAAGGAGGGGAGCAAGGTGGGTGCCAAGGGAGCAGAGGAGGAGTTCCTGCCTTCCTGTGGCCAAAGAACTGTACTATTGTTTTCTTTCAGAAGATGGTTTTAGCAGTAAAGCTTTGAACCCATGGTATTGGTTGTTTCTTATCTGCTCTCACCAAAGCTCTGAATATCTCAGCAGGAGGAGGGGAGGATGGAGCCAACTTTTCCAGCTGCTTTCCTGTCTGAGCTCACTGTAGGCAGAGCTTAAGGCATCACAGACAGAGCCAGACTGTAATGAGATGATGTGTTTCAGTGCTGAGGCTCAACTGAAGCTCCAGCCCTTCCTGCTGTTGGGAAAGATGAAGCCTTGAAGGGGGGCTGGGGGAAGTCAGGCTGAGGCAGGAACAGCTTCTTGGCATAAGGATAAGTTTTGACTTTGTTTCAGTCTGAAGGCCACATTGCTCCAGAGGCACTGCCTGAAATCCAGGCCCACACCTGGATTTCACAGCAACTGAGGTTCCATACAGCTTTATTGCCACCCCAGATGTCCGAGCTGCTGAGACCAGGTCTGCTGCCAGCCTCATACCAACTGCTGGGAAGCAGCAACCAGCCCTGGACCACGCAGGCAGGAGGGCACAGACCTGGGCTCCCAGCAGCAGTGAAGGCCTGGCTGGGTGTTGAGGTGTGTCCACAGTGAGCCTCTGTGAGCCACCTGCACTCCCAGAGCCCAGAGCACGCTTGCTTAAACTGCTGATGAACAAGGTGAGAGACAGCTCTTTGTGTGGAGCTCCACACAGAGTTTATTGCAATGTAGAGGGTCCAGCGACAGAGGCCAAACAAGGCTCAGGACACAGGGTTTATAAGGGGGAAAAGGGGCGGATCTGAGGGTCAAGGGCCAATGGGAACTGAGTACAAGTGTATGGAGGAGGGGCAGCCAACTGGGGAACCAATGAGGTTACAGGGGCAGAGCACTGCAATAAACCAGCACCAATAGGAGACAAGGAAGGGGAGAACATTCTAGAGAGAGTCCATATAAGGAAAAAAGAGCAGTTGGACTGGGTGATACCAATATAACCTGTGGCATTAACATGGGTCTGCCAGCGCTTATGGGTGAGACCACTGCATTCAGAGCAGTGTCTCTCTTTGACCCTGGGTCTCCACAGCTGGGCAGCGCTGCCAGCTGCACTCACACTGTGCCTTGGTCCCTCCAGGCTCCTGGAGTGACCTGCCCAGCACCCCACATTTGAAGAGCTGCCTCCCCAAGGGCAAGGTCAGTGGTTTCCCTTCCCTCAGGTGTCTTTGGGTGTCTTCACAGCCTCCTCAATGTGTGGTCTCAGCGCAGACAGAGAGATCAGCAGCGCTTCCTGCAGCAGAGCCAGGGCAGTCAGAGCACACCTGGGCCATGTGTCACTGCCCAGGCAGACACCCAGCACTGCCCTGTGCACACCCAGCACCCTCAGCCCTACCTCTGTCCGGATGGTTCTGCTGCCTTGGCTGGGACACGTGTTCAGGTAGAAGTCAAACAAGATGCTTGGGTCGGTGACCTCCAGGTTTGGGTCCACATCAACCCCAGCTTCCAAGCCCTCAAGGCCTCCAAATACAACAAGGGCATGCCTGGGGAGAGCACAAGGACAGGGTGAGAGGGCAGACTGTCTAGGTCAGCATCCAGGCTCCCGTGTGCTGCTGAAACAGGGAGCTGTGTTGTTGCTGACAGTGCCCACTGCAGCTGCCTCCCCAATGGCCAATGTGACAGTCCCTGCTACCAACTGCAGAGAAAGAGGAAAAGAATTGGCCTTGTTCTGAGGTATTTCCCCTGCTCTGCTGCCTGCACCAGCCTCACTGGGAGTTCTGAGTGGGGCCAAACAGGCAGGACACAAACCTGAAGGAGGGCAGAGTGACCTGGTCCACGGAGCTGCCCCGCTCTGAGGTGCCAATAGAGAGATCATAACCTTCCTTGAATGGGCACTCGGAAAAGACAGCACCTGGAAAAGAGAGTTTGGAGTTACTGCTGCCATGTCCTCAACCATGTGCCTTCTGGACAGGCTAAAACACTCCATGGTTAAGTAGTGGCAGCAAGAGTTGCTTTCAGTGCCAAAAGTGCAGCTTGAGACAGAATGACTCCTCCTTCCCATATAATTCCCTTGCTGCAAGAGTCTCCCACATCCTTTTCCTCAAAGGTCAAGACAGATGCCAGGAACCACCCCCTAACAGCTTACAGTCTTCCTACAAGGTCCAATCAACCAGAAGATACAAAAAGAATTTTCCAGGGCTCTTGAACTCAAATTTGATAGCTGGCTGTGATGTGAATGAGCGGGATGTAGTTATGGAAATAGAGATGGGCATCAACTCATCTCTTGCTGTTTTGCAGCCCTTTGGAGCAATGGTGAGTGGAGGTTACAGGGCACAGTCCTGGAGGGTGACTGGGGTGGTTCATGCCTTGTTTCATCCCTAAAGTCTGCCTGCCATGTGGCTGCTGGCTGCACATGTAATGTGCCCATCTCCTTCAGACAAGACTTCTAGGAAAGGGATGTGTGCAGCCAGTAGGCCTGAGACTGGTGTGGACACCCAGGCAGGGAATCTCTGTGCATACTCACTCAGGCAGGAGGCCAGGCGGACGCTGTAGCCCCAGTACAAGCCTGAGACTGCCCGGGGGTGCTGCGAGGACACCACGGTGCCTTTCCGCACTTTGGCTTCTGAAAGAAAGCAAAGAGGTTAAACAGCCCCTGTGATCTGGTGAGATTTGACCAGCCACAGCCATCACCCTCTCTTTTTCCAGGATGTGAATAAGTATTCTGGAAATGTGATGAGTTCTGGAAAGCCTGTGAGTGTGTTTGGGCTGTTTACTGCTGAGAAGAACTGACAGTTCTTTCCAGTTGTTGAGGCAGGCATGGTAAGGGTGTTATTAGATTTGTGTACGGAGTGAAGGGAACATGCAGAACTGTTGGGTACCTTCAAACCTGTCATACAGAAGGACCAGCTCCTGCAGGACTGAAGTTTACAGATGCTCTTGGGGCCATGGATTACCTGGATTCTGGGGCTCCTTCAGGCGCACGGTCACTCGCAGACCAGGGTTCAGCTGTTTGTCAATCTGCACCTCCTGCAGTGACAGTCACCATCAGAACCAGACATTCTGGAAGGACTGGGGAAGGTGGGGAAGGAAGGGAATCCTTTGAGGAAGTGGGGGTCTATTCTGGCATGGAGCTGAGATGAAGAGCTCTGTGTGTGGGTCAGGGGCTTGCTCATCAGTCTGAAGCTTATTTTGCTACTCAAAGGTTCAGCTGCATCAGTAAAGCAATGATCTGTTGGAATGCCTGGGGCCTGCTGGGGCCTGGGAAGCCACAAATATTACCAAGTCAGAAGGGACAAGACAGCAACAACCTTAAACCCCCCACCAGCCAACTGCAGAAACCCAGCAGCACCCACCCTGCCTGCTGCAAATCTGCCAGAGAGACAAGGGAAGTTGTTCTGGCATCTGTGGGTAACAGACACACCTTCCTCATCCCACAGTTAACAAAAGAGCCTCGGCCTGGCTTGGTTGGCCGGTCCAGCACGACGCCCTCCCGGTACTCCGAGTCCTCGTCCATCCGCATGTGGTGGGGGCTGTCCAGGGGGTTGAGCAGCCCTAGAACAGCACAGAACAAAGAGGTGCTGGGGGAAAACACAGGTGTAGGTGCAGGTGCTCCCCTGCTCCTTCCCTCTCAGGTCCAGTGCTGAAGTGGGGAAAAGTCCTGGCTGTCCCACACACAAGGAGCCAGAGCTCAGGAAGGAGAGAGACAACTGCATTTACCTGCAAACTGCAGGTCCTCGTGTTTTGGAAAAAAGGATTTCCTCAAGTACCTGTCACCAGAGAAAGGTGAAATGTGAAAAGGTGTGTTTATGGAATCTGGATCTCAATTCTAGCCCTGTTCTGACTCAAAGGAGCTGAGTATACAGAAAAGCAAACTTACTGAGGGCACTCCAAGTACTGCAGGATCCGAGCCAGCTGCACACAAGCCTTGCCTTTCTTCCCAATTCCTTCAAAATCCCCCTCCACACTCCTGAAAGTGAAAGCAAGCAGCTTGTTAACTCAGCATGAGATTGGTCAAGTCTCCAGAAGACCAAGCCTTGCTTCTTAATCTGACACCAGCAGCACATCCCTCTCCTCTAAGCCGTGTAAGAGGGCTGCTCCAGAGACAATCTGTTAACAGATCATCCTTGGAACTCTCTCCAAGCCTAGTACCTTTTTCAAGTTTTTGTGTTTTTTTATCTTTCTGTATTAATGTGATGTGTCAAGATATCCTGTTCCTCCACAGCAAGGTTTAAGGGTACAGGAGAACTTGGCCTCCTGTTGCTTTGTCAACCCCATGTTGGGATAAATGATCTGAGCTGCCAAGGGCAGTTCAGTCAACATCTTTTTCCTGGGCTATAGTGGTCCCTGTAATCCTGGCACTGGGGAGAGAGGTACATGCAGTTCCTTCCTGGCCTTAGCTTAATAGAAGAATGAAGAAACAGAAAGCTGAGAGGAAATATCATGTAGAACAACATGGCTCTTCCTTCAGAGAATTACAGAATGGCCTGGGTTGGAAGGGAACTTGACAGGAGGTGGAACAAGATGATCTTTTATGAGCAGGAACACCTTCCTCTATCCCAATTTGCTCCAAGCCCCATCCAAGCTGGCCTTGGACAGGCACAGTGCAACCACAGCTTCTCTGGGAAAGCTGTGCCAGTGCCTCACCACCCTCAGAGGGAAGAACTCTTTCCTGAAACCCATTCTAAGCGTGCTCTCTTTCAGTCTTGCCTTACTTGACATCCTCTCCGTGCTCGTCGAACACCACGATCTCATCCACGCAGAAGATGGCGCAGGCGCGGGCGATCTGTCCGGCCAGGTAGGAGCGCAGGGCCGGTGACTGCGCGTTGTTCAGGATGGAGCCGGGCAGGGCCACGCTCAGCGTGTGCGGCCGGCCTGGGGAGCAGAGACATGAGAGAGCCGGTGTGCAGCGTCACATCTGCTGCTTCGGCTGCGCTCCTGCGTGACGGGGGAAAAGCAACTTCTGTTTCTTAGATTAATCACTGGTTTTCTCTTTAGAAGGATCTCTACTGCAGTGGTTGCTGCACAGTGTTTGTGCCTGTTTGGGCATGTGGACTGATCCACACCGGATCTGTGAAGTAACACCTTTCCTATCGATAGGTGACACCGACTGCCTTTTAACAGCCAGGTTTTCCAGCACTTTCCACCCAGGTCTCCCCACTGGGTCACAGCAGCATCACCTCTGTCTTCCTTCTGCTCCTCCTGCGTCTGGGCTTCTTGTTCTGCCAGCTCTCGCATCCGCTGTTTGTCCAGTTTCTTCAGCAGCTTAATCTCCTTCCATTTCTTCGTCTCTGCTTTCCCTGGGACGGAGAACAGCGCCTGGCATTAAACACCGCGCCGTGACCGCCTAGCAGCCGCAGCCCCCGCAATACTCGGCCTTCCTTACTCTCCTGCTTCCAGCGCCGCCAGTCCACCTTCCTGTCCTCAACCTACGGGGACAGCACGCGTTACCGCCGGGCTCCCCTCCGAGCCGGACCCGGGGAACGGCCCGGGCTCCCCCCTCAAGGTCGCGGGCTAGACCCAGGCCCCCCTTAGCGCCCACCTGCGCGCCTCTGGGCCGCTTCCCCACGCCGCTCTCCGTGTCCGCCATCTTCCCCGCGCTGCCGGCCGCGCCCCCGCGCTGCTGATTGGCCGGAGGGCTCAGGCTCCGCCCACGGTGGGGAGGAGCCTAAGGTCACGTGGTTGGTGTTTGAGCGGCCCGCGCGGCAGCGGAGCTAAGCAGGGTCGGTCGCGTTCTGCGGGAGGATGGGTGACCCCAGGCGCAGCCCCGGGCGCCGAGGAATATCACAATTCCCATGTGGGAGTGTGTATAAAATCTGTGTGCTTGTGTCTGCGAGTCTTTGCACAAGCCCTGCGTGTGTTCTGGACGATACACAGAGGCACCCTGCCCTTTGCAGGTTGTGTCATGGCCCAGATAAGAGCCCTCGCATGTGGGGGTGTTGCAATTAATCTTCCTGTTAACAATCTAATTGCACGGTTCTTTCTCTATTTCAGCGACTGCGACTCTCCCCATGTTTGGTACTTATATGGGTGCAAAAGGGCTTTCAGCAGCACCCTCACTCACCCAGGCTGAGCCTGCAGGTGAGATGGGACACCAGGAAAGGCAGGTGGCTGCTGCCTCCTTCCCCCTCTCTCTCCCTCCTGCTGGCCCATGCAGCTCTGCTTCCAAGGGGATTGGCACCACCAGCTGCAGCCCAATATGGAAAACCTACAGAGCTCTCCCCACCAGCCTGAGTGGGACAAGTAGCCACCATCACAGGAGCCAGCACAGATGAGGCAGCTCTCAAGGAGAGCTCCATCAGTCCTGCAGTCATTACAGAGACACTCTTCCATGATTGCAGTAATTCCACTTTAATAATTTAACTGCTACAAACACTCATCGCACAGTCTGTTGCACACAAGTCCCAGATGGTTGATGATGATGTTTTACACTCTTATCCAGGCTGAAATCAATACTGATGCAAGAATTTCCTCTCCAGAATTGCTCGTGTTTTCCCACCAGCTCACTGGGTGGGAGGTTGTGGTGGCCACCAGCAGTACGAGCAGCCAAGGCCATGGTGCCTTTCCTCCCCAGCCACTGTGTGCACTTGTCAAAGGCCAGAAGGTTTTGCTCTGCAGCCTGGACGATGCTGCCAAACCCTGAGAAAGTGCCAGGAATAATTTGGAAGGTTTGACAATAGCCAGGCTATTGGTGAAAGCCTGCTTCCTGGGGAAACCAATTGTGTGGTCATCTTCTCCAGAGATGCACGGAAGAAAATTGTGGGAAAATAGTTTATGATGGGAAATGTCATTTCACTGGGTTTGTAATCATCAGGATCACAGGAGTCACCTTACTGATGGCTGGTGATGCTGTCTAGTCCTGTGGAAACGTGAGTGTTGGTGGAAATGCTGCCCTGAGTGGGGATGTGGAGCAAGACAAGCCACATTAACCCTCCAGCATGGCCTTAAAGGTAAGTCCTGAAACACCTTTTCAGAATTTAGTGATGAGACAGAGCCCAGGAGCCATCCTCACCTTGTGTGTTACTGGACGCATCCCACAACTGATTAGCAAAGTTTTCACATGTAAGAAATGTCAAATGTTGTCAGTGCACACAAAATCTCACTTCTTGAAATAATTTCACAGCGACTGAAAATGTCCCCCAGGCCCTGGGCCTGGAAAAACTTAACCATTTGTCTGTCAGAAAATGTTGTTGTTGAAAGCTCTGAAGTTAGAACATACCAAAGTTTTTAGACAAGTGAAGAAGAAGAGCAGTTGGGGCAGATGAGGACCAAGGAGAGCCTGGCTCTCTCAGTGTATTCAGGAGCTGGTTTTCTCCTGTTTCCATTTTTGCAATATGTCACTTGCTGCCTTCAGTGTAGCTTCCTCCTAAAAAATACCACAGCTTTGGTCAGTGGCTCCCAGCCAAATCCTATTCCCCGTCACTGCAGCAACTGTTGATACAAAAATCCTGTTCTCATTCTGGAGCATTGCAGGTTCAGTTTGAGACAGGCACAGCCACTGGGCAGCTAAAGGGGCACCTAGAGAATCCCTTCCTTGGCCAAGAGATGTAGGATGCTGATGGGAAAAGTTAGGATGTTTAGGATGGCCCTGGCACATCTGCTGCCCCCAGCTCAGCTCATGTGTCTGCAGGAGTGGTTTCTCCAGCTGGGATGCCATGGTGGGGCTCCAATGCCCGAGGCATCCTGCATTTCTTCCTGGCATTTCTCCCATTAAACCAGCCCTGATTATTGCTCCCAACCTTGCCTTCCTCAGTGCTGTCCATATCTCACCTTTGCAAAGCAGAACCGGATGAAATTGGTGTAGTTGTTCTTGTGGGCCTCGCTGTAGAAAGCGGAGAGCGGGATGGCAGCAAGGCCCTGGGCAGAGGAAGCACAGGGAGCTGAGGGTGCTGCTCTGGGCTGGCTGCAGCCTGCTGTGCCCCAGCCCTGAGCTTGGGTGGGCACAAACCCACCCAGGGTAAAGGCAGCAGGAAGGGCCAGACCCTTTTACCTTGTTCTTGACCATCCACTTTGCAAATCTGGAGTCGTAGGGCTCATCTGAGTTGGGGACATCGGGGACATCAGATTCTGCAGGAGAAGCACAGCAGGATAGAGGCTGGGGCAGCTGCCAGGTGCCTCAGCTGAGCCCCAAGCCCACATCCTTGCAGCTGGGATGAGGAACATGCAGCCCATCCCTGCTTTGACGATGGTTTATGCAGGTTCCTGTCCCTGCCAGCAGTACCACGCCCCACACCCAGCCCACCTGGGCAGGACTGCAGGTGACTCACTGAACGGGGAGATGTCTGCCACCAGGAAGTAGGTGCCCTCTGGGATGATGGGTTTCATCCCCACCCCATCCAGGCTCTGAACCAGCCAGTCTCTCTTCTGCTGCAGCTCCTTGGGCAGCTGGACAAAGTAGCTCTCTGGTTTTCCATAGAGCATGAGCTCCCTCTGGAAACCCTGAGCCACGGCCTCCTGTAAGGAGAGAGGGGCCAGTGCCCAGTGGGAAGATGGTCAGGGCTTTCTTGGGAACTGAAGTTCCTGCAATTCACAGCTGATTAGGGAGGTCTCTGCCTCCAGCCCCTCTGAACTGCCCCTTAGATCTGTCAATGCAAGATAAGGAATATACCCCAGGCAGGCTGGATTCTCCCCTCTCCCAGACACAGAACAACAGTAGGGAGAGAGGAAGGAGCCTCTCCAGGGCACCACAAATCACTTGTGTGTGCCTTTCAGGTCAGCTGTGGGCAAGAGGACCACCTCTCACCCCTGCTCTGAGGGCTTGGGCATTGCAGGGCCAGGTGCAGGGAGCTGCCTTACCTGGGCAATGGTGGCACAGTGGTACACGGAGTTCTGGTGCACAGTACGGAGGTGCTGCAGCAGCCTGTCAGGGCCCACAACCCAGCCCACCTGCAGCCAGGAGAGGAGGAGGAAGATGGTGAGTCTGGCTGCCTGCTCAGACTCCCCTTTCTGTGCCTGTGCTGCTTTCATTGTATGTTACAGACAGAAATTTCATGGAGCACCTCTGGTACTTTCAGACCCTGAGGCTCAAAGCTGAGCGTGGCCACAGTGTCCCCAGTGCTGTCCTTTGGCAAAGGGACAGGGATGGGGACACAATGAGGTGCCACATGGGATATTCACCTTCCATCCTGTGGCACTGAAGGTCTTCCCAGCGCTCCCGATGATCACCGTGCGCTCCCACATCCCCTGCAGGCTGGCTGGCAATGAAAGGAGAGAACCCCCAATGGCAGAGCTCAGCATGCTCCTGACTGGGCTGAGCCCTCTGCCACCATAATCCACGGTGATCTTCAGTGTTCACAGCACATCTTTCACCTGGATGAGCCTCAGAGCACATCCCAAGCAGGCAGCCAGGTTTCTCAAGAGCATCTCCTTTCAATTAAGCATTTTCACAGGCATGTACCCAGCCCCAGGGGCTCTCAGAGATGCCAAGCACCATCACCCTGCATCAAGGTGATGGCATGTTACTCCAACTGGAAGAACATGCTGAAACGGTGTTGAAATGGATTTCCTGGAACTACAGACATTCAGAAAACTGTGGCTTTACAAAGCATGGGAAAAAAAATCAGTTTCAGTGGAGCCAAGCAGCTTTTTGCTCTAGATCTCCCCTCTGGCTTGAAGTCAGAGCTTCTGTTTAGGACCTGGTTTGGAGGCTGAGATTGAAATGCAGCAAAATACCCCCAGTGGGGGATTCATGCCTAGTAGAGCTGTGCCTGCAGGCAGCTCCTGGGATTTCCAGGAGCTCCTGGGATTTCCAGGAGCCGCCAGTGCAATGCCCATTCCCTGCCCTGCAGCCCCGCCCAGCCCGGCCCGGCCCTGCCCGGCCCGGCCCTGCCCCGTACCGATGCGGATGTGCTGCTTCCCGTCGTAGACCAGCCACTCGTACACCTCGTCGCTGATGCACAGCACGTCGTGCTTCACACACAGCTCTGCAATCAGCCCCAGCTCCCCGCGGCTGAACACCTGCAGCAGGCACGGAGTGCGGCAGAGGCACAGCAGGAGCATTTCTGAGCCCCTGCCTGTCCCTGCAGGTTGTGAGTGTCCTCCTGGCACTGTCTCTGTGCCAGGGAGGGGCAGGAGCTGCTGCAGTCTCTAACAGTTGTCTTTGCTGGCACAAAAGACAAGGCTTAAAACCACCAGGAGACTGAGCACAGCATGTGGTGCTCCCACAGCACTCCCTTCCCTTGTGGGGTGAGGCTGAGTCACTGCTGCCCTGCAAATGTGGCACCCCAGCAGCTTCCAGGGCCCAGCATGGCCAGCAGTGTTACCTTGCCCAGAGGGTTGTTGGGTGAGTTCAGGACGATGGCTTTTGTCCGTTCACTGAATTTAGAAGCCAGTTCAGCTGGGTCCAGCTGCCAGTCTGCACTAGACATTAATTTTCCATCTTTTGGAGGATTCTAGAGAGAACATGGGAATCTTGATTTGCTTTGCTACGTCTGCACCTTGTTTACCACTGACCTCTTTGCTGACTGCTGTGACTCTTCCCTTCTCCACCCACTCACCGGTCTCAGAGGCACAAACACAGGTGTCCCACCAGCCATTTTCACCATTGGCTCATAGCAGTCAAAGAAAGGTTCAATGATTATCACCTGGAAGAAAGGGACATGTCAGCATCCTCCTGGTTCTGCTCAGACCTTCCCTGAGGAGTGCAGAGAGCAATGGGAGGGACAGGACATTTTAATCCCTAATTACTGTAATGGAGAACCTGCATTGCCTGTGGGGAGTGTCAGGAAGGACACCACCACTCAGGACAAAAAGGGTTATTTTGCTTTATGCAGAAATGAAGCAGTGCCCTGTAGCAAATAATTTCTTCCTTTGGAAGCTCAGGTACTGCAGAAAGGGGACAAAACTGGTTTTGCTTTGGAAAAGGACAATGAAAACCAGCCTGCAGGTCCCCTGGGGGAAGACTGGCAGTGCAACAAGCCCTTATCTTGGGTTACCTCATCACCTTCATCCACTAAAGCCTGGAAGCAGCAGAACAGGGCCTGGTATGCCCCCACAGTCACCATCACATTGGTCATAGGATCCAGGTCTCGTCCAAGCAGCTTCTCGAAAAACTGGGCCAGGACCTTCACCAGAGGTGGGTGGCCCTGTGGGGTGAGAGGAGGGTGGGAATTGGGTTGCAGAAGACTCCTAAACCAAGGCTGAACCCTTGGAAGGGGACTGGGAAGCCAAGAGCCCTGTGAGATCTTCCAGCCCGGCTGCTTCAAACATCCCAGTAAAGCAGGGAGTTACTGGGAACAGTAGGCATGGATCAAGGCTGGATGTGTGTTTTGTCTCATGCTTTTTGCTGTTTATTGGTGCCTGGTGAGCTCTGAAGAAGGCAGGGCTGGTGGGGATGGAGGGGGTGGTGCTGGGGAGGGAGATCTGTCACTCACAAAGGCACGGGTGTACTGGTGCAGCATGTGGTTCCCCCCGCTGAGGGCTCTCATCAGTGCCTCTCTCAGAAAGTCTGGTGCAGGGAAGTCAGGGAAGCCCTGGCCCAGGTTCACCTTGGAGTAGGTAGCAGCCAGTTTTACAAACTCCACCCTGGAGAGAAGGGAAACAAAAGCACTTTCAGAGGGTGTGAGCAGTGTGCTGGCACCAGGTGTGCTCGCAGCATTTCTCTGGAAGGAGTGGGGTTGGTGTCCCTCCTGCAGAGCCATCCTGCTGCTCACAGGCAGGCAGGACCCAGCACGGGTCAGTTCAGACCTGTTGCAATTAAACCAAGGATGATGAACTATTGCACTGGGGGAACTGTTTTAATTCATTCTCCCAGAAAACAGCTTCTGTAGTCAGTGTAAGGTCACAGCTGAAAGCCTGTGATGTTTCAGATCACCCTGGACTGAGCAGGAAGGGACTTGGAGATTTTCAAGCTCGTACCAGCTCTGCAATATTTAGCACCTAAACACTGTGAAGGTCTCTGCAGAGGGCAAGGTGGATTGAACTTGCTGCTCATCTCAAACCAAACAAGAGCCAGCTCACTGGAGGTTTGTAGCTTGAGCCCAGACACAGCAGGGCCTTGGGGAAGGACCATTTAAATCTCTTCCAGCACACAACTTTCCCAATGCCACATTGTGCCTGGCAGGATGGGAATGGCATTTGCAGCAGCCCTTGCCCTGCCTCTCTGCTTGTGGTGCCCCAGGGTGAGCTTGGAGCAGGTGCCAGGCTGCAGCAAACACTTGGCTCAGATTTGGGTGGATGGGTCAGAGGGAGGGTGGTGCTTCTGCCTGCCCAGTGGTGCAAAAAATCTGATACAGGCTGAAGTGAGAGCTGCAGGTACAGCACTGACTCATAGTAAAGTCTTCTGGGACAAACTTGCTCTGATGTGCTTCCTGAACATGTGCAAAGCAGTTGAGGGAAACTTCTGCTCTGTGCTGTGTGGCTGCTGTGGTCTCAATGTGGTTTTAGGATGCTTAAAACCACATCTACCACCTGGGTAAACCAGATATTCTTTTAACTCACCAGATATTTTTATCTACTCCCTCCAGCCTCCGAGCTTGCACTGGCCTTGACATTTTTGCCTGCAGAGAGTGAAAAAAAAAGTGAGTTTGAAGCTTTAAAATGAGGCCACAAAGGGGCTGTGGCCTCTCCAGGGAAGTTTTTCCCACCAGAAGGTGTGCCCTTTAGTATTGCTTCATGGGCTGCTCCTGACTGATCTTGGAGCAGTAATAACTGTTGCAGTGGTTTCTGCTTTCACTTACAAGTTTCAACAAGAATTGGGAAAATAGATTAACAAGAGAAGCTTTTGTACACTCACTGGGGAGGTGGCAATGCCTTAAACCTCATTACCTGTTTGGATTAGTCATGGGGTCAAGCTCAGCCAGGCTGTAACAGCCAGGCCAAGGACCCCAGACCTCAGGCTTTTACCTTCCATAACCTCTCCATCTTCATGGGAAGGATCTCCTTACTCTATAGGCCATTAAATATCCCCTTTTCCTAGAAGAACAAACTATTTTATTCCATGTTGCTCTATGAAGTAGCAGAAGTAGATACTCTTCTGTCCCGATGAAGTGCTTCTTGAGGGGGCTTGCTCTAAATCCTATAAAATGTGCAGTTTTCTATTTAAAGTTCATGTTAAACCCAAGCAGTAACTAGGTACAGGCAAGAGAGAGCCCAGCACAGAGGTCAGTGTGATGTACAGACACACTGAGGTACCAAGCTGTGACTGGTTTGAAGTTTCCATGTACATCATGGCTCAGGGGAGTGGAAAGAGACAGCAGGAAACACTGAAAGCAAAACCCTCCTTCCAGTTGGATAAGCACAGTGGGAGAAAGTTAGATGTGCTTTATGGAGAATTCATCACGAGGATGAGGAAAAGCAGCAGAGACAGAATTTAGTAACTCAGCAGTGCAGGGAAGAGGCTGGAAACTGGAGACAAATGATGCTCAGTGCACCAGAAAGAGACAGTGAGGGGGCAGGAGGAGGGCAGCCCTGAAGCAATGAGTCAAGAAAGCCATTGTCACCACAGCAAATAAAATACATTTGAACTGGCACAAGGAAGGCACGTGAAAGCAGCTGAGGTGAGGTGCAGAGCTGGGATGTGCAGGGGTCTGTGCCCTGCCATGCCAGGATGGTGGGGGGGACACTGGGTCAGCCTCCTCCCAACACTCAGCTGCACAGCACTTACCTGCTCCCCTCTGCTGTTTCCACGGCACTGCACCAGAATTTGGGCAGTGCCCCAAGGATACTTTGTGCTGAGGTCCTTGGATTTTTATACAGCTTCAGCCCTTACTGGAGATCTTTGCAAACACCCAGACGAGGAGCTCTGTGTTTCAGAGGGCACCAGGTGGACTCTGCTCCACCCTGGTGCCAGGCAGGCAGCCAATGACAAGCAGAAGTCACTGAATCCATGGCAGCCTCTCCTCTCCTCTCCTCTCCTCTCCTCTCCTCTCCTCTCCTCTCCTCTCCTCTCCTCTCCTCTCCTCTCCTCTCCTCTCCTCTCCTCTCCTCTCCTCTCCTCTCCCTCAGTTTTGCTCTTTCTGCAGAAGCTCATGGCTGTTACAGTCACAAGACCTGGTGCCTGAGCTGATTTGGGTGGGAGCAGAAGGATTTATGGCTTGGGAAGTAAAAGACAGCTGGAGGTAAAATATTAACAGCTCCAGTGCTGTTCTTGTAAAGTGTGGCTGCTGAGAATTTGACAGATGACCAAGTGTGATGGGGATCAGAAGGAAGAAGGTGCCTTAAGCCTTGAAATTCCCAGTTCTGAGGAAAGGCCTTGTCTGCTTTAGGAACAGAAATAACAAATACTTTTTTTTTTTTCCTGATATCCCCTTCATCCCATCTTATCCCAGCCTGTGTGTGATGCTGCCATAGAGAGCAACACAGGCTCAGGACAATGCAGCCCTCAAATCTGTTTCAGCCTGTTCTGTCCCCAGACAGAAGGGGCAGTTTGCCTGGCAGCCACACAGGAGAGCTGGGTGCCAGTGCAGAAGCCTTGGCATCCATGATCTTCCACCACTGACTCTCTGCTGTGTGTGACTGCCTTGCTCTGCATGTTGGGATCTCTGACTGGGATGCTGATATTCTCCAAGTACTTTGCAAGCCAAGAGGCTCTAGTACAGACCATCAGAAGAAGCAACCACACAAACAAGGAGCCTTCTCCTCTATGAGGGATATCCCCTTACTTATGAGGATCCTTTAAATGCTCCCTGGAAATAAGCAGATATAGAGGAAATTGCACCGGAGTGGCTTTTTCTGATATGTTCTGTCAGCTCTGAGCTGCCCTGGGCAGGCTGCCAGCCAGGAACAGTGCCACTGGGCATTCCATACCTCTCTGGAGCACGAGCTATGTCCAGCACTGCTGTTCCTCTGCAGCAAGAAGTGGCGCAGGGACGGTCCCGCTCTCCTGAGCATGCCACGGCTCCTGCTCTCTCACTCCTGCAGGCACACACCTGCAATTCCCAGACAAAGGACAGGGCTGAGACAATTGCTGCACAGGTTAAAGCACACCTGTAGCTGGGATCAGGCAGGCCCAGACCCAAAGCAGAGGCAGTTCTGCCCCAGAGAGGAAAAGGCAAAGCCAGCTGCTTTGTGTGTCATCACTGCAACGTCCCCAGTGCTGGGGCTGTACTTTGTGCCCATGACACACAGGATCAGGATCACAAGGGCAACCATGACTTCTGCCTCCTCTCTCCCAGTCCAGGCTGCCCCTGCTCTCCTCTGCACCGATGGGAGTGGTGTGGACACCAGTGAGAGGGCATCCTCTGGGAATTTGGTACTCAGCACCAGCTCCCCATCCAGTGTCACTGAGCCCAGGTAACTCTTGCCTCTGCCCTTCCTCCCTTGCAACACTTTCACCTTCCTGGCCCATACAGAAATCTCTGGCCTCTCAGCTGCTGCAGCTCTGGTTTAGTTACAGAATAAGTTAAACTTATTCCAATAAGTTTTATTCCAATTAACAGGAATAAAACATCTTCTATCTCTAAAGTGATTTTGGTGATTATCTTTCCTTCAAGGCCCCAAGCAAATTGATTTCTGTGTGTAAAATGCAGCCTGTTCCTTCACCTCAGATTTCTTTGACTATTCTACAGCATTACTTAAACATGCAATATTTAAGCTAAAATAAGTGAATGTTTTGTTAGGTACTTGAGATAAAAGCAATGAGGCTGGAGGATGTATGCACCTTTATAATGATCAGCCATTAATTAATTTACCTATCTGCCAAAAAATTAATTAATACAGATTTGAAGCTTACCAGCCCACAGGTAAGCTCTCAATACCCCTAAGGGCACTTTGTATCCTTACATGCAGGATGCAAGTCCTCAGTGTCTGCATTTTCGTTATTTCTAAAAAAAAGTGTAAAGCAGCTGCCAGCTGAGACCAGTGGGGTTTCACATCTGTTCGCCAAGTGGGAAAAAATTGCACAATTTATGGAAAAATTGGAAGCCAGAGCATCATATTGATTATGACTGCAAAATCTCCACTTTGTGCTTGCATGACACTGAGATGTGGGGGGACACTGCTTTGGGGTGCAAAGCAAAGGAGTCCTAGAATGAGGAGACCTACCCTGCAGGGGACAGAATCAAAGTGTGGCAGTAAAAAAGGCTTTATCAGATAGCAGCAAACACAGAGCTGTGTTGGAGCTGTGCGTTGGACTGAGGGCAGCACCTGGGAGCAGCCGACCGGGACACCGCTGACTCTGGAAGGGTGAACTGGGCTGAGCAGAGGATTTTGGAGGTGACAACTGGGAAGGTCACCTCGGGGACTGGTCACTCACCACCTCCAGCCCGCGGGTCGCAGCCGTCTCCTCCATCCCGGTGCTCCTCGATCCCCCCCTTGGCAGCTCGGGGGTGCACCCGGGAGGCTTTGGGGACACGGCTGTCCCTGGATGTGCCCCAGGAGGAGCGCAGCACCAGGGCGAGTGCAGGGCGAGAGCAGCAGCAGCAGCGCCAGCAGGAGCTGACACTGAGGGACAAAGCAGCTGCCAGAGGAACAGCGGGGACAAAAACAACTTACATCGAGCTGGGCCGCGCTGCTTTAGGCTGCAAAGGCTGGCACAGCCGCCCAGGCTGCCCTGGCACACATTCTGCCTTCTCCTCTGCCCGAAAGCCTTCATGTGCGGCTGGGACTTCCTGGGAGGAGCCGCTGAGGCCGCAGGAAGGCGGGGTGAAGCTGCAGCCCTGGTGAGGAAAAGCGTTCTGAGGGCTCTGTGGGCTCTGAGGAGTTCGGCTGCCTGGGGAAATACCCCAGCTTGTGTTCAGGTGGAAGCTCACTCTGGCATAACCATAGCGGCATATTTTTTGTGGTTTGTAAATACTTTAGCGTGGCAATGGCAAGGAATTTGCCTTCGAGTGAAGCCTTTGATCATTTTAAAAAATGAATTTTTAAGTCAAAATCCTCTCAAAAATTTCGCCCTGCAGGCTTAATATTATTCGAGAAGGGAATGGATAAGTGTAAGGTCCTTCTGCCACGATCCTGCAGCATTGCCTGGCCCTGGGCTGTGGGTGGGAGCCGAGCTCTGCCTCAGTGCTTGAGAGCTGACAGCTACTGCAGTGAGGTGTTGAGCGAAAACTGCCTTCTCTTCCCTCTTCCTTTAGTGACAAGGCTTGACCTGCACCCGTGAGTCAGGTCCTGTAAGTCTCCTGAATAATTTCTGTCGCCCTTTCACAGCAGGAAAAAATGAGCCATGGGGAAAGGAAGCGGCTGCATCCGCTGTGCCAAAGGTTCCCAATCCCAACGCGACACCCCTCAGGCATCCCTGAGATGATTAAGCAGGAGGGAATGTCTACAAGGAGAGGAAAACTCTGTTGTCTAAATTTCTGTTTAAATCAAACACTGAAACAAACAGATGGAAGGAAAATTTGGTTCTGTAGAATGTTTGTGTCAGATCTGGAGCCTTCAAATGGCTCAGTGGCATTTTTTCCCGCGCTTTCTTTGCCCTGTCCTCCACCAGCCTTGTGTCTTCCCTGGTTGTTGTTTGTCCCTGAACTGAACTTGTTTGTTTAGATGTATTAGCAAAAAGCCAGTTTAGCAGAAAAGTGGCCAATTTTCTGTCAGGTCCATGAGTTGAACTGGTTCAGGGTAGATATGAGGGCAAAAGGTCTTGCAAGGAAAAAGAGATGTGGGCAGGGAGGAGTAGGGAGAAAAAGGGATGGACACAAGCCCCCACCTTCTCTGTCAGGATTTAGACGTTATATTGGTCCAAAAGTATAATGAAACTTCACCCTAATGCCCTCTTGGAATTTAGCAGAAATTTCTGGATGAGGTCAGTGATGTAAAGGGCACATCCGACCTTGTACTTTTTACTATAAAACTCAAGGAAAGTTAAAACCTTCGTTTTCTTCAGGTAATTTTAATTTAATAAATGCATTGGAACATGAACAATTCTTAACTAGCGTTCAGTTAAAAAAAAAACAACTTAGCTATTGCACTGGGCTGATAAGAGTTTACAGCCTTATGTCCTGGCACTGGTAGGACATAAGGCTGTAAACTTAAGGACATATCCCAGCTCCTCTGGTACAGGTCCTTATGTTATACAGGTCCCTATATCCCCATATGTAAACATAAGGACATATCCCAGCTCCTCTGGTACAGGTCCTTATGTTATACAGGTCCTTATATCCCCATATGTAAACATAAGGACATATCCCAGCTCCTCTGGTACAGGTCCTTATGTTATACAGTCCTTATATCCCCATATGTAAACATAAGGACATATCCCAGCTCCTCTGGTACAGGTCCTGTGCCTGTGGCTACAGGAAGTTGCTAAGACTTATAATATTCCTTGAAAGCCACAGATGCACTTACTTTATTGTTCCACACATCACTGGTGTAGACAAGTTAAAATTGGCTGCACTTAACCACTCAGAACCACCTGCTGTACACTAATAAAATTACAACTAATGCCTTTGAACCATCCTTTATTCATTTAAAAAGAAATTATGCTGCACAGTGTTGTCCATTACGTCAGACAAGTAACAAATAGCTACGAGTGAATCACTTTTTTCAGATACCACAAACTTTTCAGCAGCTGAATGCTTTCGGTTCCTTTAAGACTGGCGCCATTTTGAGCGCTGCCCGGCACCAAGATGGCGCCGCCGCCCTCACTCCCCCCGCTCTTCCCGCCCGCTCCCCTGTGGAGCGCGCCCTGCACAAAGATGGCGCCGCGCCCGTATTGCCATGCCCGCCCCCAAGATGGCGGCGGGACGAGGCGATGGTGGCAGCGCCGGCCGGGTGAGGTCAGATCCGGGGCGGGGCCGCTGCGGGCAGGGCGGACAAAAGGCGCCGGAGCGGCGTAAGGGAGGGTGGGCGCCGCGGGCAGGTGGGTGCGGTGGGTTCCCGGCACGGCCGTGGCGGGCAGGTGGGTGTGCCGCGCTCCCCTCACGCCACGGGCGGGCTGAGGAGACGTGTCCCCCTGTGGGGTGATGTCCCGGAGGGGATGGGGTGGGACGCCGGGTCGGGGGGGCGCGGCTGAGGGGGCTCGGAAGCGGCGAGCAGGAAGGATTTGCTGAGTAATTGGGCAGCGATTCGGATCCTCCGTGTCCCGCCGTCCCTGCTCTCACAGCGCCCGGGGCAGGGGGGGTCCTCGCCCCGCCTGTGGGGTGAGGCAGGGCCGGGCTGTGCGCAGTGTCCCCCCAGCGAGGGGAGGACGCCGCTGTTTGTTACCTGCGGACGGAAGCGCGGTGGGATTTATTTATATCTCCCAGAGGATGTTTCTTTCTGTGTCCGGAAAGCTGCGGTGGAGTGGCGGGGGCTGGTGCCGAGGTGTGCTGGGTTGAGGCTGGTACCCATTGCCTGGAGCGGGGAGAAGGTCAGAGAGTCCTCTCCTCTCGGTGCTGCCTTTGCGGCACTGTGGCACGGCTAAAATGCAATAGCTTTGGTTTGCAGGGTGTTGCTTCAAAATCTGTTAGCCCGAATGGTAACTTTGGGATTAAGAGGAATGAACCCTCGGACATCTTCAGCATTATGGGGTTGGACTTTCTCCCACTGATGTCTGTTCTTTCTCATTTCTCCCTGTTGTTAACGCAACACTCTCCGATGTTTTGCAGTCCTCTCCTACATGGCTGGGAGGCTGGATGCTTGAGAGATCCCTCTAAGGATCTGCTCCCTTGCCTGTTTTCCCATGCCCCGTGCTGACATGCAGGAAGCAAGGAAAAAAACCCCAGCCCTGTTGAAATTTTTGTTGGTGGTGCTCAACTGCTTCCACTTTTAAGAAGATCCATGTTGTGAGCGAAGGGGGCAGTTCCTTGGATCTCGATTGGTTAGGTGTGTGATCTGTGTTTTCTGATACCTTATAGTAACGTTTAAAGTGGATCAGGCTTTTCAGACTAGAAATTAGGCAGTAAAGTCATCTCTTTCCCCATCTGACAATGATTTGTTATTCTGCCTCTACTTGTGTAGACTTAGTTGTGATACTAGCATTCAGCATCTCTTTTGGCTGGATCTGCAACACCTGCTTTTTGGTAACTTCTGTTAGAATCACAGATGCTGGAAATTCCTTCCTGCTGAGTTTTACTTGGCTCCTAGTGTTCTTGCCATATTTCTAGGTATCAGCGTGTCTCTTTCTGGCTCCCAGTGACCCTCTGAGTTGTTTGTTGCTTCTTAGGTACTGTTTGCCGAGCTTTTACATGTCCCTCTGTGAACTTGATCCCCTCTTTTTTGCTGATAATCTGTGTTTCATTTCAGGGAAACTGTTCCCATGGCTTGTGGGGAGTGCAGCGCTTCAGCACTCGCTCGGGATCCAGCAAGTAGGAATATCAGCCACTTCCAGCACAGAGAACTGACGTGCAGATAGCAGAACCCTGCTGCAAGGTGAGGGCTCCGGGCCAGCTCTGAGTGGTCAAGCCAAAAAAACAAAAAGACCCTGCTTAAACATAGATACAAAGCCCAGCACATGAGATAATCGATACTGAGGAAAGGTGTCTGGTCAGACAGTGGTGGGGAGAGTGGCGGTATTTAATTGTGGTAGTGTTAATTAAATTCTGGGTGCCCTTAGCTTGGAGATGACAAAGGAACTGAGCCTTGTAAAAAGTAGAATATAGCATTATATAGTCACCCATAAAACTAAATCCTGGCCCCATAAACCCTGACTTGTTACTGCACTTAACAGTAAATTCAGAGGCTGCCCGGTAAATGTTTTGGTGACTGCTGCCTGAAAGGAATGCAGCTGAGAAGCAGGAGGAGCTGTTGGTTTGGTGGGTGCCCTTCCATTTCCCGTGGGCTGATATTTGTCCTCCTGTATAGGCGTCTCCAGGCAGTTTTTCCCAGTGCACTCACCTGTCACCTGTGTGGGTGTCAGTTGGGCAATGTCAGAAACATTGCAGGAATTTCCCAGCCTCCTTGGTTGTGCACTGGGACAGTGATTAAAGGCATTGCAGAGTTCTGTGCCCATCTTCAGGATGGGAAATTCTGTCCAGCTTGGCTGTGTTCTGAGCAGGGATGTGCACTGTGTTCATTCCAGAATAGAAGAAACCCCTAAGGCTCATCTGGTGTTCTGGCAGTTCACTGACCCTTTTCTTTTTTTAACTTTGTCATGGTATTTGAAAACTCTTTTAATTCTTGTAGGTCAAAGACAACATGCATAAATATTTCCTTAAAGCATGCCAGAAGCCATGTGTTAAAAGCTAATGTTGCCATGCTTGAGATGTGAGTGCCTGAAGCCTTCCAGTGATGACTTTCTGAAGCTGGTTACATTATAGTAACTGCTGCAGGCAATCAAGAGATGGTCTGTGGTTTGGGGGTCCCTTGTGCTATTAAAAAAAAAATCAAATAAGCAGTGGAGGTCACGTGTATCAAATTATTGCTGCTTGATTAGAGCAGGCTTTTAAGAAGCCTTTTCCAAATACTAAAGAAGTTTTTTGTTCAGTAGAGTACTTCAGAAGAAAGTCTTTTTGTGTTTAACTGAGCTTAGCTGGTATCTCAGAAAATAGAGGGGCACTATCTGGTGAGTGGTGCTGGAGAAGGGTTTATTAGGATTTCTGTGTGGGGCTCATTAAATAAGGGGAGCTGTGCACAGCTATTATTTTGGTAACAGTTAAAATTCAATTATTCAGCTGCAGTGTGGTGAGTCTCCCTTCATGCATTCCTACAAGTGTTTTCAAAC